GACGCCAAAGGAGTGGACAACTTGAGTTAAGTCTACACAAACTTTATTAACATTAATACATACAATGAAAACCACGGAATCTGAAAGGGAGTGAAATAAAACCTCCACCTAAATCAACTATAATCAACGAATTTGAACAAGAGACAAGCCCAGGGCTTGTTGTGGAGGAGAGGTCAAAGTTCAAAAGAAGGGCATGTGGCTGGGAAAAGAGGTTTGGGAAAACTAGGGCTGAATTGCCAGCTGCCCCCAGAGGTAGACAGTCTAGCAGGGGAAAGGGTCAGTGCCCTTGGAGGGGTGATGTCAGGTGACTAGCCTCTGGTAATGCTGCAGGATCACACATGGGCTTGCTGCCCAAGAGGGCATTTCCTAGCTTACTACCTTGTTGAAGCTGCGAGTTGTGTGCCCAGGGCTGAGTCCTACTGCAGGGGTGAATGAACTCAGCACCTCCCGCCTAATGTGCTGCATCCTGGCCAATGAATAATACCCTCTGCGGCTGGCCTCACAGTTCAGAATCATCTGAGAATTCTGCTGGATCCTCCTCAGGTATTTTCTCCTCCGCTCGGATGCTGTAAACACCCAGCACTGGCGAACACTAGGACATCCCCGGCCTTAGACCTTCTCCCCATGGGGGGCTACTGTGAGCATCCCATCTCCGCCATCATCCCCTGCTGGGGTTCGGCTGGAACTTGGATCACCCTTCAGGTGTGGGCTTAGCTCAACACCATCAACTTGTCCTGGTAGATTTGGGACTGCCCCTGACTCTTTCAGCAGTGGTGGTATAAGCTCAATGGCCACAGGACATCTCTCAGGATGCTGGCTAGTGGCAATCTCACCGTGCAGGGATACAGAGATCTCAGAGTCTCCTTGGCCACCTGCAGAATGTTGGGTATTTTGTGGATGATCATAGGAGAGAGAGATCCTGGTGTCTCGTCTAGGCATGTGAAGTCTGCTTGTAATGAATTGGATACTTGGCAGGACTCTTGTCCTGTCCAGTGAGATGCAGTGGTGCCCAGCTTTAGTGGTGGAGAAGGAGCTGGAGATCAATGGAGAAGCCATCAGCCACAAGCCACACTGCCCCATGCCTTTGCAAACAGACTACATGCCAGAGCCCTGAAAAAAGACCAGCCCGGGATATTAACCCTCAGGCATTTGCCCCCTAAGTCCAGCAGCTAGATGTCCTAGTTTAGACTGCTCCTAGACCAACCCTTCTCGCGTGGCCACCTCCCAGGTGATATGGACCTCCCACCTCCTAGAGGAGTCTCAGCACGACCATGGGCCACTCACCCTCAGGAAATTCCTCCATTGGCTTCAGGTCTTTTGCCTGCGCTTGTGTACAAGCTCCATACCTGAAACTTGCGCCTGGAGTTACTCAGGTTTTGGGCCTGCAACGGATCGTGCTCGGTGGGCTGGGAGGCGAGTAGGGGAAATCCTCTTCTGCAGACCCTTCATCTTCCAGGTTCCAGGGTACCTCCTAGGAGAAAACAGAAACACATGCAGGGTGGCATATAACTGGGACAAGAGGGGGCGATTGTGGCTTTTGGGTCCCATACCACTGGGAGTTACCATGACGCACAACCTGGGAGGAATATACCCTTCTCCAGGAGCACATACATGATGTCACTCACATAGGAACCCAAGCACACACATTCACACACACTCACACATTCACTCAAGCACACACAGAGTCCTAGGTGGGCCAGAGAGCATTAGAGTGATGACCTGGTATGTCCTCTCCCAGAGACCCCCTGCTTACAGCTGGGGCAACGCTGGCTCCTGGCCTGCCAAGTCTGAACAGACTCCTCATGCCTTTTACCAGCATCTGAAAGAGGTTCCCTCGCCTTTTCCTGGGGTCTGGAGACCTCGGCATGCAGCAAAACATCTTTGCTGCTCCTGGTTCTCCCTGAAAGTGAACTGGGACGATTTGTCTGTAGAACCTGGCTACCGGGATACCTTGATCTGAGTTTTGTGCTGTGTCATCTCAGGGAAGTGATGTCACACCCTGGGATTCCCTTACCTGTGACTCCTTCAGAGAAGCCCCTCCCCCCTTTGGCTGCTTGTGTCCCTTCCTGTGCCTGTCCATCCACACCACAGACACCAGTATGACTTCCCAAAGCCCTAGGTTGGCTCCATGTAGCCAGGGCCTTAGGAGGGGATGCAAATTTCTGACTGCTGAACCGGCTGGTTGTTCTCCTGCCTAGGACAAGACCTTGGAGCTTCCTTTTCTTCCAGGTTCCTTTTTCCCATTGGCCCAGTAGGGCAGTGTAGCACCTCTCCTAAGGAGGTGCACAGGGCTGGGCCCGGCCTTCCTGCTGTTTCTGTAGGGGAGGCTGTTGTCCTTTGGGTTCGGGCTAATGTTGGCCTTGATAGGCCCATTCCAGAGAGGTTCATCTCAAGACACCAACCAAGATCCACTGCCTCTGCTGTGGGCAAGTCATCTTCCTTCTGTGTGCTTGTCCTCCTGGGGCAATAGAAAATGTCTCAATTCAGCCCACTGTCCTAAGGCCACAACTTTGTTGACCCCGAATGGGCCAGATTCAAGTTCCAGGCCCACAGACAGGGCACGTGTGCTGGATCACTGAGGTGTCCAGGCTCCCTCCTTGCTCAAGTACCTGCTGAACATACTCTGTGGAACTGGGATTGGTTTCTTATTGGGATTAGACCCCAGAGTTGGGCATCCATTCCAGAGCAAATCACATTAGGTCGGCTGCGGCAGCCCCTGCTGCCTGAACGCCAGTGACCTTACTGGAAAGAGGGAGGCTTTCACTCACACACATAGTACATCCAAGTGAATAAGACCCCCTTCCCCTGTGCGTTAGACTGGACAGTCAATGAAGGGTTAGATCGGGGGCAGACTAGAGAAGGCACTGGCTAGCCACATGTCTGCGATTCCTGATGACCTAAGACAGGCGCAGTCCCCGAGGGGCTTCATTATAATTATCTTTGGCGTTCAAATCAGACAAATGGCTAAAGGCCTGTAAGCCTAATCCAGGCATTAAGCCCGCAGTAAAAAACCCCTTCTTTTGGCTGAGAACATGGCTGCTGCCTGATGGAGTCACCAACAAAGCGGTTTAACTATTAACCAGTTGGTCATTGTTCCTGCATAAGAAGTAACATAGCAACCAGTTGATAATTATACTATTTTCTTACCTACTATAGTTTTTCTATATATGTGTAAAATCAGTTTCAGGAAACGCATGATGAAGAAAATAGTGTGGGGTAAAAGTAGTATTGGAATAATCATAATGCTTGTCACATGAGTCAAAACCACAAAAATTAAATGCTTACGTAGAAAAAACATTGATTGTGATCACTGAAAGTAAAATATAACAGTAGTTAAATATTAATACTTTCTGAATATTAATATATTAATATCTGGTATTGGGAAAGAAAAAAGGAAAACTCACTTAAGAAATGCTGTTCTGTATAATCAAAAATAATTGTGTAGAAATAGATGCCTGTAATCAGAACCTTGCGATTGTTTACCGTTCCATGCCAGGGAACATCGATCACATGTACCTGAATGATAAAGTAAATGTCTTTTGTATGCCTAAACATCTCATGCTGAAAAAAATTAACTTGTATGAAATCATCCATTGTTTAAAAAAGGTATAAAAGTGTATGATGATTTTGAGCACATTACATTCAGATATTCACTCTTGAAGTGTGTCTGTCATTTCTGCGCCGAATCCTTGACCGCCTAGCTCAGACTCTCATCCCGGTGTCAGCCTTCCTAATCTGCCACTGTGCCGGTCGGTGGCACCGGCCATTTTCAAACCTTCCCTGTACTCAGTCCTCACCAACCTTCTCTTCCTTTTGCTGTCTAACTCTGATTGACTCTCTCCATTTTTTCGGCCCCTGTCTTCCTCTGCCTCTCTGTATGTACCCCTCTTGCCCTGAGGTCTCCACCTGTGTTCGTCTCTCTGATCCCTTGTAGGGCTAGGCGTGCTCAGCATCCCTCATCTGCTCACACAGGCCGTGGGACCTGCAGAGTCATGGTGAAAACAGGTCAGAGATGCCATCGATGCTTGGCTGGTGGGGTGGAGTGTGGGAGAGGAGAAGGCTGGAGGGAGACTGTGGTTGAGTGGAAAGACACGAGCACTAGGTTACCCAGTAAGGGCAGAGAGAGTGATGCAGCAGATGGGTGGTGTTTGTTGTTGAATCCTGAATTGGGGAGAGTAGCCCAGCCTGTCTCCAGGGTGGTGGAGGGCTCAGGGAAATGATCTGGAGTGCCAGAAACCATCAAGAGGGTGCACTGCCTGGGCACTGGGAGTAGCCCCCTGAATTTGGTCAGGAAGAGCCATCAAAGGTTGTATTCATGGATCCTCTGTCTCAACACATGGTGTCAGGATATGGTAAGGCCAGAAGCTGAACAGAATGCCTGATGGGAGCTCCAGGAATGCTGTGTGCTGTGGCTATGCATTCAGCAGCCCAGAGGCAGTCCTCCAGACCTGCTGAACTAGATCAGTTCAGGAGGAGCCTCTGTGCGGTTGAGCCTCTGTGTGGTTGAAGATTTTGGACACTGCACCAGATCTGCCCATAATGCGCCATCGCTTTTGAGTATTAACCTAAGGAACTTCCCATTGTGCAGGCCCAAATTAGTTGATTATCTGTGGCAATCTACCATTTCCCAAGGTTTACCTCATGATATATAAGCTAAATCAAGCAATCTGTTCTTTGACAATGATCACACACGTTCTAATGATTTATAACTTCATGGACAATAATCTGTTTGATGAAATTGCAGAGCTTGACATCCTATCACATGTCTCTCTCCTTGGTAATCTAATCTTGCAAAATACACATTCTTGTATAGATATGAGTTCGTGAAATGGACCATTATACATGCTGATATACTTTCTCGATTATATAGAGTGCAATGATATAAAGTTGATGTGGCAGCTATTGCTCATCCAGTGTATTCCTAAAATTCACAGAGATCTCAAATTTACTTATACAATGTGTAATAATTCTATTGTGTAGTTTGGCAGATCCTTAAGTTACCACTTGGTTCCATCCCTAAGTACTGCTCTGCAGAATTAGGAACACAGATGGCAGACTGGTGAGGTGAACAGGGCCTGAGGAATGGGGCAGTGGGTGAATTATCTGGTGGATATCCACTAGGGAGGTGATCTTTTCTGCAAGTCAATAGTGAGAAGGAGGCCAGTACTGTGAAGAGACTGGACGCCAAAGGAGTGGACAACTTGAGTTAAGTCAACACAAAATTTATTAACATTCATATATACAATGAAAACAAGGAATCTGAAAGGAAGTGAAAAGAAACCTAAACTTAAATCAACTATAATAAAAGAATTTGAACAAGAGAACAGCCCAGGGCTTGTGGTGGAGGAGAGGTCAAAGTTCAAAGAAGGCATGTGGCTGGGAATAGAGATTTGGGAAAACTAGTGCTGAATTGCCAGCTGTCCCCAGAGGTGGACAGGCTAGGCAGGGGAAAGGGTCAGTGCCCTTGGAGGGGTGATATCAGGTGACCAGCCTATGGTCAGGCTGCAGTATCACACAGGGTCTTGCTGCCCGAGAGGGCATTTCTAGCTTACTACCTTCTGTTGAAGCTGCGAGTTGTTGCCCAGGGCTGAGTTCCTACTGCAGGGGTGAATGAACTCAGCACCCTCAGCCTAAGGTGCTGCATCCTCGCCAATGAATAATACCCTCTGCTGCTGGCCTCACAGTTCAGAATCATCTGAGAATTCTGCACGATCCTCCTCATGTATTTTCTCCTCCAGCTCAGATGCTGTGAACACCCAGCACTGGCGAACACTAGGGACATCCCGGCCTTGGACCTCCTACCAAAGGGGGGCTACTGTGAGCATCCCATCTACGCCATCATCCCCTGCTGGGGTTCGGCTGGAGCTAGGCTCACCCTTCAGGTGTGGGCTTAGCTCAACACTATCAACTTGTCCTGGAAGATTTGGGACTGGGACCGACTCTCCCAGCAGTGGTGGTATAAGCTCAATGGCCAGAGGACATGTGGCAGGATGCGGGCTAGGCAGTCTCACCGTGCAGGAAAACAGTGATCTCAGAGTCTCCTTGGCCACCTGCAAAATGCTGGGTATTTTGTGGATGATCATAGGAGAGAGATGATCCTGGCGTCTCGTCTAGGCATGTGAAGTCTGCTTGTGATGAATTGGATACTTGGCAGGACTCTTGTCCTGTCCAGTGAGATGCAGTGGTGCCCAGCTTTAGTGGTGGAGAAGGAGCTGGAGATCAATGGAGAAGCCATCATCCACAAGCCATACTGTCCCATGCCTTTGCCAACAGACCACATGCCATAGCCCTGAACAAAGACCAGTCCAGGATAGTAACCCTCAGGAATTTGCCCCCTAAGTCCAGCAGCTTGATGTCCTAGTTTAGACTGCTCCTAGACCAAACCCTTCCCGCGTGGCCACCTTCCAGGGGAGATATGGACCTCCACCTCCTAGAGGAGTCTCGGCACGACCATGGGCCACTCACCCTCAGGAAATTCCTCCATTGCCTTCAGGTCTTTTGCCCTGCACTTGTGTACAAGCTCTATACACTGAAACTTGCGCCTGGTGTTAGCGCAGGTTTTGGGATGCAATGGATCGTGCTAGGTGGGGCGGGAGGCAAGTAGGGGAAATCCTCTTCCTTGGACTCTTCATCATCCAGGTTCCACGGTACCTCCTAGGAGAAAACAGAAACACCTGTAGGGTGGCATGTAAGTGGGACAAGAGGGGGCGATTTTGGCTTTTTGGTCCCATAGCACTGGGAGTTACCATGACCCACAACCTGGGAGGAACATACCCTTCTCCAGGAGCACATACATGATGTCACTCACATTGTAACCCAAGCACACACACTCACACACACTCGCACACTCACACAAGCACACACAGAGTCCTAGGTGGGCCAGGGAGCATTAAAGTGGTGTCCTGGTAGGTCCTCTCCCAGCGACCCCCTGCTTACCGCTGGGGCAACGCTGGCTCCTGGCCTGCCAAGTCTGAACAGACTCCTGATGCCTTTCACCATCGTCTGAAATAGGTTCCTGGGCCTTTTTCTGGGGTCTGTTGACCTCGGCATGCAGCAAAACATCTTTGCTGCAACTGTTTCTCCCTGAAAGTGAACTGGGTCGATTTGTGTTTGGAACCTGGCTACCGGGATTCCGTGTTCTGAGTTCCTTGCCATGTCATCTCAGGAAAGTGATGTCACATAAGCTAAATCAAGTAATCTTTATTTCCACAATGATCTCACACGTTCTCATAATGATACATAATGTCACAGACAATAATCCGCTCAATGAAATTGCAGAGGTTGACATCCTGTCCCATTACTCTCTTCTTAGTAGTATAATCCTGCAGAATACACATTCTTGTATAGACATGAGTTTGCGAAATGGACCATTGTGTACGCTGATATACTTTCTTGATTCTACAGAGTGTAATGATACAAGCCTTATTTGACAGCTATTGCTCATTTACAACAATCCAGTGTATTCCTAAAATACAAATAGATCCTACATTTACTTATACAATGTGTACTATCTCTATTGTGTACTTGGGCAAATCCTAAAGTCACCACTTTCTTCGCTGCTTAACTAGGAAGCACCGGGCAGTATTAGGAACAGAGACAGCAGGTAGGTGCAGGGATTAGGGGCTCAGGCACTATGCAGTGAGTGAATTATTTGTTGGATTTTCATCAGGGAGGTGATCTTTTCTACAAGTGGATAGTACAAAGGAGGTCAGTGTTGTGAAGGGCCTGGACACCAAAGGAGTGGACCACATGGGTGAGTCAAAGGAATTTTATTAACATTTATTTACACAATGAACAAAGATATCTGAGAGGAAGTGAAACGAACACTAAACTTAAAATCACTCAATCACAGATTTTGAACTAGAAGAGTTGGACCCAATGCTTGGGGTGGAAGCAATGTTGAAGTTAATGAGCTCATGTCGCTGGGGAGGTAGACGAAGAAAGGTTTTTAGGCACTGGTATAGAGTCCTCAGCTGTCCCCAGTGGTGGAAAGAATGGACTGTGGCCAGGGTCTGTGTCCCTTGCGCAGTGGTGTCTGGTGAGCAACCTCTGGTTGTGTTGCAGGGTCCCCAGAGGGTCTGGTTGCCCAGGCAAGGCATTTCTTAGCTTAGTACTGTCAGTTTAACCTGTGGGTGTTGTCCAGGGCTGGGTTCTTTCTACAGAGGTGGTTTGATCTCAGTCCCCTCAGCATGGGGCATTGCATCCTGGTCAGTGTGTGGCTACCACTCTAGCAGCTGTATCAGCTCAGAATCCTCTAGGAATTCTACTGGATCCTGCTCTTCTACTGTCTTCCCTAGCTCGGGGGTGTGAACAACCAGCACTGGGATCCCTTAGGGCATCTGGACCTAGAGAGCCTTCTCCCTGAAGGGTATTAGTGTGAACACAGCACAGCCAGCATCCCCTTTGGGGGCCTTGTGGGGCCTGGCTCCTCCTGCAGGTGTGGACTTGGCTCAGCACCATCAGGTTGTCCTGGAAGATCGTGGTCTGGGCCAGACTCCTCTAGCAGGGAGGGTGTGAGCTCATCTCATCAGGTTGTACTGTAGGTTTCCTGTTTAGGCCTGACTCCCACAGAATGGGTGGTATTTGCTCAGTGCCTAAGGGACATCCTGTGGGATCCTGGTGAGTGGCAAGCTGACCCTGCAGGAGTACAGTGGGCTCAGAGTCCCCACGAGAACCTTCACGATCCTGGGTATTATCTGACTGTTCCTCTGGAACAGCATAGATGGGAGATGATCCTTGAGTCCCTTCTGCACATGTGGAATCTGCTTGTGTAGGATCAGCTACTTGGATGCACTTCTTGCCTGCCTGAGGAGTTGCAAGGAAAGACAGCTGTACTCATTGAGAAGGAGCTAGAGATTCAACAGGAGAAGCCATCAGTCATACGCCAGACTGCCCCATGCCTTGGCCAACAGACCACATGCCAGAGCCCCGAGCTAAGACCAGCCTGGGTTAGTGGTCATCAAGATATCCCCCCCTAAGTCCAGTCCAGCAGCATGAGGTGCTAGTTCAGACTGCTCTTAGTCCAAACTCAGCCCGTTGGGTCTCCTCCCAGGTGGGATAGGTAAATCCACCTCCCAGTGGAGCCTTGGCATGCCATGGGCCACTTTCCATCGGAGGTTCCTCCATGGGGTCAGATAATTCACCTTGCACATACGCACAGGTGTCAGAAACTGAAACTTGTATGTTGACACCCTGGCTGCCAGTTGACCAGGGATATGAGTTGTGTGCGGTGTCACCTCAGGGAAGTGATATCACCCCCAGAGGTCTCCATCCCTGGACTTCCTTCTCAGACAAGCCTCTTCCCCAGGCTTCTGTGAGATTCCTGTGCCCCTCCATGGCAGCACCAGTCCACACCACTGACCCCAGCACGACCTCCCAAAGCCTACATGCAGCCAGGGCCTCAGTTTCCTGGCTGCTGACCAGGCTGGTGGTTGTACTGTCAGAGCAAGTCCCTGTAGCTTCCTTTGCCTCCAGGCTCCTGTCTCCCATGGGCCCAGTGGGGTCTTCTAGCACTTTTTCCTATGGAGGTCCATGGGGTTGGGCCCACTCTGGCTGCTGCCCTTGGAGGGGAGGCTGCCCTCACATGGGACTCAGGTGAAAGCTGACATAGTGGAGCCCACCCAGGTTAGGTCACCTGCAAATACCACACCCAGATTGACTGACTCTGCTTGAGCAAGTCATCTTCACCTGTGGGAATGTTCATTCACCCCTGCAGTAGGAACTCAGCCCTGGGCAACAACTCGCAGCTTCAACGGAAGGTAGTAAGCTAAGAAATGCCCTCTTGGGCAGCAAGACGCTGTGTGATCCTGCAGGATGACCAGAACCGAGTCACCTGATATCAGCCCTCAAAGGGAACTGACCCTTTCCCCTGCCTAGCCTGTCCACCTCTGGGGACAGCTGACAATTCAAAACTAGTTTTCCCAAACCTCTTTTCGCAGCCACATGCCCTCTTTGAACTTTGACCTGTCCTCCTCAACAAGCCCTGGGCTGTTCTCTTGTTCAAATTCTTTGATTATAGTTGATTTAAGTTTAGGTTTCATTTCACTTCCTTTCAGATTCCTTGTTTTCATTGTATATATTAATGTTAATAAATTTTGTGTTAACTCAGGTTGTCCACTCCTTTGGCGTCCAGTCTCTTCACAGCAGTGGCCTCCTTCTCACTATTGACTTGCACAAAAGATCACCTCCCTAGTGGATATCCACCAGATAATTCACCCACTGCCCAAGTCCTCAGGCCGTGTTCACCTCACCAGTCTGCCATCTGTGTTCCTAATTCTGCAGAGCAGTACTTAGGGATGGAACCAAGTGGTGACTTTAGGATCTGCCCAACTACACAATACAATTAGTACACATTGTAAGTAAATTTGAGATCTCTGTGAATTTTAGGAATACAATGGATGAGCAATAGCTGCCACATCAACTTTATATCATGAAAGTATATCAGCATGTATAATGGTCCATTTCAAGAACTCATGTCTATACAAGAATGTGTATTTTGCAAGATTAGATTACCAAGGAGAGAGACATGTGATAGGATGTCAAGCTCTGCAATTTCATCAAATAGATTATTGTCCATGAAGTTATAAATCATTAGAACGTGTGTGATCATTGTCAAAGAACAGATTGCTTGATTTAGCTTATATATCATGAGGTAAACCTTGGGAAATGGTAGATTGCCACAGATAATCAACTAATTTGGGCCTGCACAATGGCAAATTCCTTAGGTTAATACTCAAAAGTGATGGCGCATTATGGGCAGATCTGGTGCAGAGTCCAAAATCTTCAGGCCCAACCACACAGAGGCTCCTCCTGAACTGATCTAGTTCCGCAGCCCTCAGGACTGCCACTGGGCAGAAGAATGCATAGCCACAGCACACAGCAATCCTGGAGCTCCCATCAGGCATTCTGTTCAGCTTCTGGGCCTTACCATATCTTGACACCATATGTTGAGACAGAGGATCCGTGAATACAACCTTTGATGACTCTTCCTGACCCAATTCAGGGGGCTATTCCCAGTGCCCAGGTGGTGCACCCTCTTGATGGTTTCTGGCACTCCAGATCATTTCCCTGAGCCCTCCACCACCCTGGAAACAAGCTGGGCTACTCTCCCCAATTTAGGATTCAATAAGAAACACCACCCATCTGCTGCATCACTCTCTCTGCCCTTACTGGGTAACCTAGTGCACATGTCTTTCCACTCAACCATACTCTCCCTCCAGCCTGCTCCTCAATCACACTCCACCCCACCAGCCAAGCATCGATTTCATCTCTGACCTGTTTTCACCATGACTCTGCAGGTCCCAGGGCCTATTTGAGCAGATGAGGGATGCTGAGCATGCCTAACCCTGCAAGGGATCAGAGAGAGGAACACAGGGGGAGACCTCAGGGCAAGAGGGGTACATACAGAGAGGCAGAGGGAGACAGGTGCAGAAAGAGAGGGAGACAGTGAATCAGAGTTAGACAGCAAAAGGAAGAGAAGGTTGGTGAGGACTGAGTACAGGGAAGGTTTGAAAATGGCCAACCTGATATGATTTGCTCTGGAGTGGATGCCCAACTCTGGGGTCTAATCCCAATAAGAAACCAATCCCAGTTCCACAGAGTATGGTCAGCAGGTACTTGAGCAAGGAGGGAGCCTGGATACCTCATTGATCCAGCACATGTGCCCAGTCTGTGGGCCTGGAACTTGATTCTGGCCCATTCGGCGTCAACAAAGTTGTAGCCTTAGGACAGTGGGGTGAATTGAGACATTTTCTACTCCCCCAGGAGGACAAGCACACAGAAGGAAGATGACTTGCCCACAGCAGAGGCAGTAGATCTGAGTTGGTGTGTTGAGGTGACCTCATCTGGAATGGGCCTATTCAGGCCAATGTTAGCCCCAGTCCCAAGGACAACAGCCTCCCCTACAAGAAACACCAGGGAAGCATGAGCCCAGCCCTGTGCACCTCCTTAGGAGAGGCGCTACACTGCCCTATTGGGCCAATGGGAAAAAGGGGCCTGGAGGCAAAGGAAGCT